CCCCTCCACTTCTGCCATGCGCTTTGGGTGGGAGGGACAAATAAGTAATGCAAGTAAGCTGCGCGAGATGAATACTTTCTGCTCGTGGTGAGGGTTTAGGATTTCTTGCTTCTCTTGTTTATGGGTTTATGAACAGGTCGGAGGTTTTGCCAGAGCCCGCCGTGCAGATGGGCTGTAGGAGAGTTTATTTAGATATTCCTGGGGGGTTGGGATACAGAAACCTGGCCCTGGATCATCAGATTAAAGAAAAAAGCCATTTCACCTCTTCGGATGGCCCCGATGGCCATCGAAAACCTGCTTTATTCCTCCTTGGCTGCCCCTGCTGTCGCGCCGTGGATCGCAAGGGCTCGTTTTCCCTGACTGAGTAATTAGCCGGGCTTGTTTGCTAAGGATGTATTAAGCTGCCACAGCGAGCGATGTGTGGTCCAGGAATTGCTGGCAGCCCTAGCTGCTCACTTCTGCATAACTTTTTATTTTTCTCCTGCCTCTTTCAATTAATTTCCTATTAATTGGGTTTGGAATCAAGTCCTCAAATGACTGATAAATCTTCTTTAAGCTTAGGAGCTAATCGGTTTTGGAGGAGGGAGAGCAGTGGTAATAGAGGAGGAAAAAAAGTGCATTCATTTTAGCAAATCTCTCAGATATGAACTGAAACAAATGGTAAATTGTCCTATTGGGTTAACAGGAAAAAACCTGCTCTTGCAATACCCCAAGTCCATCATCTTCTTGCAGTACTGGTTGGCGTGAATATTGGTAAATATTCAACCTTGGGAGATGGTACGTACTCTTCTCCTAATAGTACTTCTGAGCATTTCTTTTGTTTTTTTCTTTGGCAAGTGATGGAGTGTTTTCCATAAATCTTGAAGGACCCTGAACGCCACCACTAATTAAAGCAGGTTGTATGCTACAGGGGACCCGCTATTTAATTAAATTCATTAGGAGCCTTTTGTCGCCTCCTGCTTCGGAGAGTGCAAATGTGACTTAAACTTTTATAAGAGCCTCTCGGTATCCTCGAGGAAATTAAAAATATATATATATATGTGTTGCAAAGTGTTCAAGAGCTTGAAAGCAGAGGGGTTTTCAGCAGTGCATTATCCTACGGGGATGGGGCTGAGACTGACCCTGCCTGGGAAGGGCTACGGGGGCCAAAAATTCCCCCTCTAAAACCCAAATCAGCGATGGCTGCGCTTCACGTGTCCTCGAGTCGCGGCTAGTGCAGTCGGTAACTCTGGGTACCCGCTTCTGTGGGGTCCGGATCTCACCCCAGTGTGGCTCGGTCAACTTATCATTAATTTTTCTTTTTCAGCAAGTTTTCAGTTCATGTGAAATATCTGGGCAGGGGGAAGGTTGTTGTTAAACACACGCAGGCGACGGGAAAGTGCTTTTTTAAAAACTTAGGTATGGTCCGGTTGTGATTACTTTTAGAGGGTTTCTGTAGTAATTTCCCAAGCTGGAAAAAAAGTAAGGGAAGTCCCGGTGTTGGAAGGGGCTGAGTTGTCCCAGGAGGAGTCACATTCATGGAAGTGAGCAAGGAAGAATCACAAGTGCTCCCTATCATGGGACAATGTGAATTGTTGTGGCATTTCTCAGCTGATTTGTGGTTTTTCTGGGTTTTGATTAACCTCCGATGCTTAATGGCAGAGTAGTTGGTCCGAAGAGTTTCATCTCCTGGGTTTTAACAGGTAAAAATCTTTGTTGTCCCAAACATCTCCCTCTTCCTCCACTATTTGGTCTGATTTTTTTCCCCCCCCGCCTTTTTGTCCGCTAACCTGCAAGCCCTCTCCCTTCCTTACTGGCTCCATCCCAAGCACGTGTTTTATTATGCATCTTCCCAGCACGCACGCGCAGTAATACCTGTGCACAGAAATAAGTTCCTACCCAAGCAAATCCCTCCTCGAGCCGGCAGTTGTAACGAGCTGGGACGGGATGCGGGAGGTGGTTGAAATGTGTTATGTAGAGCTGGCTGAGCAGAGGTGCTGCTCCTCTTTAGGGGGCTGTTTCGGTGCATTGCGGTGGTATGCTGTGTGCGGTGCTGGGTGATAGCCCCTTAGTGGGTTATTCTGCCTGAGGTCTGCAGTGCATATCTAATAATAATGCTGTCCCTCCTTACACGCAGGTGGAAATGCTTTTATTGAGTATTTAACAGAAAGCAGCTGGGGGGGGACGGGGTCCCCAGCCGCAGGAGGGTGGGAGCGGAGCTCCCCAGCACGAGTTTTCCTGTGCTGGGAGAAGGCGGAGGCATGAAGCCAAGCGTACCGAAGGTGCTAATTGCACGAAGGAAATGATTTTCCTTTTAAGCGTGCCGTGGTAATGGTTTTCTTGTATTCCTCGGTCAGGTCTTTATCCCACATGCGTCTCACCAGGAGGATCTCGGAGCACGCTACGGTGCAGTTTTAAGCCCCCGGAAGAAGTGGCTCGTTATGGGGGGGTGGAGGGTAGGAAACGCAGTGTGGGCTGAAATGCTCGTCGTGGATTTCTTTAATCTAACAGAAATAGGTTGGACCTGTGCGTGTGCGTGGAGACAGGTCCCACTCATGATGGGGCTATCGTCTTCTAGCGGCTTTTGTAATACAGACAGCTCTTGGTGGCTCTGGGGTTGGTTTTAGGGTTTTTTTTAATATAGAGGGACGGCTTGCAAGGCTCGGCTGCTTGCAACGCAGTGAGTGCAGGGAGCATTGGAGGGGCAGAGGGTGTTTCATGCTATCTCGCTCCCTCGAGAGCAGCGCTTCCTCAGGGTGGAAAAGCATGCAAAGCCTTTCCTACAACGAAAAGCAATACTTGTATTCTGATTCCTAAACTGGGTATTATTTTGGTGGGGTGTATCTGGCGCAGGGAGCCACAGGGCGTTTCTGCAGCAATGCCAAGGACCAGGTTCGGGGCTGGGCAAGGCACTTAACGTGCCGAAATTACTGAAGTCCCTTGTCTTACGTGGCATTTCTGTAATCCTCCCTGGTTTTGCCAGACTCCCAGTAAGCTGTCCCTGTATCGGTGGCCAGCGGGCATCCCTCGCTGGTGTGTGGGAGAGGGAAAACACAAAGGTCTTTGGTTTCACCTCGGGGCTGGTGAAACGCCCCCATCACATCCCGTGGTGCCCCCACCCGCCCAGCTTCCCCCTCTG